GAGGTAGAAAGAAAATCTTAAGCAGCAGGCTCCATGCTCAGCATGGAGCTCAATGCAGCATGGAGCATGACCCTGGATCATGACCTGAGACGAAATCAGGAGTTGGACGCTCAACTGACTAAGCCACCCAGGAGCTCCAATATGTTATACTTCTAAAGTACACTAGGGGTACCTGGGTGGCTCAGTTGGTTAAGCATCTGACTTTGGCTCAGGTCATGATCTTGTAATTGGTGAGTTTGAGCCCTGCGTCTGGCTCTGTGCTGATGGCTCAGAGCCTGGAGCCTGCTTCAGATTCTGTGTCTCCCTCTCTGTTCTTCCCCTGCTCACGTGGTCTCTCGCTCTCAAAAATAAATAAAGATTAAAAAAATAAAAAATAAAGTACACTAGAGTATGGATTATCAAATTGGATGACAAAGCACTGATTATGCAGCGATACGATAGCTGTGCTAAGGAAATGCAGTATACACTGATATTACCAGACTAATTACTCATCACAGTATTCCCAACTCACAGGAAAACAAGGGTCAGAAAAATTAGAAAATGGAAAAAGGAATATCTTAACCACAGCAGAATTATTAATTGAAAACTAGACTGCAGCCAGATTAAGTTTCTGAGTATTTCATTTGTTAGTCAAGTAAGGAAGTCGTTTACTGATGGTGCCTTAACTAAATTGCGTTTGGTTGTAGTAGCCAAAGAAATGTGTCTGGAGAAAACAAACTTTTTAAAACTATTAGCCTTTTGGCAAGAACAGTTGCTGCAAAGGCTGAGAACATTAATAATCAATTAAAAAACAAAGCAAATGATTTTGAGTGGTTTTCCTTGGCTTTTGTGGGTTGACAAGAGGTTACCAATACAGCTCAATTACTGTTTTTCAAGAAGTCCATTCTAAGTTTGAAGTTTCTGAAGAATCGGTTTTAATGATAGTGCTCACGGAGTAACTACTGACAAAAATATTTACAAAAAGTTCAGAAACACTGAGTTTGTATGATCTGAGAAGTGCAGTCTGTTAAGATACATTACAATTGATGGCGGTAAAAATGTCTCCAACAGAAAACGGCTTAGGTGAACAAATTTACGAAACTGTGAAAATGTAAAGTGTTTAAAAGATACAGTTATTTATTTTATTTATCAGCAGGTATTTTGCAGAGAGTATTTGAGTGTATCATGAAATACAGAAGTAGTAGTGTGTCTAGACTCAAGTGTGTTGCTCTCATTGACTTGGTGTTAGCTCCATGCATTTTGGTCAGGATGGAAGCCGAATGGCCCGTCCCGCCTCACCACACTACAGTTCAGAGCTTAGTAGTGATGGTAAAGTTCTATTCCGGTCTTCTGAGCTTGGAGTTGATTTGAGATCTTTCTGAACGAGAGGAACTGCTCTCAAACACTGTGATTGATCACTGAATGGCTTTGGAAATCAGTTTCCGCTACAGACTTGGTCATGTTTCTTAAAGAACTCAACCTAAAATTCCAAGCCAAACTGTGCTTGTATGCAAAACGAGAAGTGATTTCGATGCCAACTTGTGGTGTTTGAATCACAAATAACATTAAGCTGTTTTATGTAGCTTTCCAGGCCAACAGGAGTTAAGGTAAAGAAATGACGTCGCCGTTCCCACTCAGGTTTGAAGTAGATATATTTTCTGAGCTCGATGTCAGCAGCCTTTCTCAGACTTTGACGCAAGTGCAAGGGAAATGACCATATTACAAAATCCATTCCGTTGTGCAGTTGAGGCACTTGCACCCACCTTAACCTCTAATTGGAAGTGATTGGTCTGAAGTGTAAGAATATGCTGAAAGATGAAAGACAAATACTAAGAGAAGAATAAAGTCTGTAGATATCTTCCAAACAATGAAAATGGTGAATTGAAATCATATGTATGTGACGGCATGGCACCTCTCAGGGTAAAAAGTCATTTTCAAACATGAAATACCTAAATTCTTATTAAAAAAGCAGCATTACCATATGAACATTTGCAGTTGATTTTGATTATAGGGAACACTAATTTTGAGTCTCAGCTAAATGAAATATTATCCCCCTAAAGGAACTTCATTCTTACTAGGAGGCTGGTTTTATAAAAAGTTGTAGTCAGAGGTTATTACTGTAACCTAAAATGTTAACTGTCTGATTCTTTATACAAAGAGTTTGCTGACCCCTGCTTTACATAAAGATATTGGTTTTAAAAAAATTTTTTATAGTTTATTTTTGAGACAGAGAGAGACAGAGGATGAGTGGAGGAGGGGTAGAGAGAGCCACACACACAGAATCTGAAGCAGGCTCCAGGCTCTGAGCTGTTAGCACAGAACCTGACTCAGGGCTTGAACCCACGAACGTGAGATCATGGAGCCGAAGTCAGATGCTTAACCGACTGAGCCACCCAGGTGCCCCAAGATACTGGTTTTTATTTTGAGAGAGAGAGACAGAGACAGAGACAGAGACACAGAGAGAGACAGAGACACAGAGAGAGACAGAGAGCAAGCATGTGGGAATGGGGAGAAGAACAGAAGGAGAGAGAGAGAGAATTATGGGGCTCGATCTCATGACCATGAGATCATGATCTGAGCTGAAATCAAGAGTTGGATGTTTAACTGAGCCAGCCAGGCATCCCGACATGAAGATATTTTTATCCTGGGTAGTTGTGTACCTGCACATATTAGCATTATTAATGCTTTTGTGTCACAGTGGCTTTAAAAGAAAATAATATGTGAAACAGCTTTTTTTTCTTTCTTCTGGACTTGTTAATTACCGCTCATTCACTATAATGAGACCTTATTGCTTTGTGTTAATGTTCTAATTTGAAGAAGGGGCTTTGCATGGTTGCCCGATGTTCTGCAGGTGGACTGGTTGAATGCTGCCATTTCTGATTGTGCAAAGGAAGTGTACTCTTTGTTGTGGTGCAGTTCTAAAGTGATACAGATGCTGCCTGTAAGGAACTTATGTGGGGAGAAGGGACTAATAACCTATCAAAACACATAAAGGAAATAGCCTTATTTTTCAGAATATACTGGAGTCCATTGAAATGCCAAGAACTAGACATGCTTAATTTTGAGGGAGAGTTTTTGAGCCCCTTGAGAATAGATAAGAGGTGGAGAGAAGGAGCCAGGCTACTCACAGCAGAAATTAATTCCCTCAAAAAGGCATGGAGAAATACTTTGATTTTCTCTATTAAGTGGATTCATTGGTTCCTGTTATGGGAAATAAGAGCACGGCAATTTGGACTCCTCTAGGATACCGTTCTTCTCTCTCTCTTCTGAACTTCCTACACTTTGTAGTCTTTAGTGGAAAGTATCTTTGCATAGGAGCCTTTGGATGATTCTGGGAGACTTTTGGGAAGCCAGGAAGAAAAGCCAGAATTCCTTGGCCAGAGAGCTTTGGTAGAAACTAGAGGGTCAGACGATACTCTTCCTCACATTTGTCGAAGGGGAAAGATGAGTGATAGTTATTTGCACAGGCAGAAAGCTTTAGAGAATGACAAGATCATAGAAGATTACAATTTGAGGAGAAAAAGAGGCTCAGGTAGTTTCATTCACAGGTTTTTACTTAAATTTAAGTTGTATGGGACATTTAAATACATATAAGTGATGCATGGACAACTATAAACTGTCCATGTTCCTTTAAAATAGATTTCTTAAGTGTGGCTTTTTGGGGGGAGAAGCAACAGTGAGGTCTTTGTCTTCATCTCCTGATACACATTGACAGAATTTTTGACCCCTGACTGTTCCCTACCCTGGCATGGCTATAGGAGGCTGGGGTAGCTTGAGCAGCTTCTGGTACCCTGGTTGGAGGCGACTGCAGCTTTCCTCCCCTCAGGACGGGTTTGGGAGTCCACCACACACACCAGCCACCATTCGGCTTCCCTACGGGACAGGGAGAGACAGGGCGAGAGCTTCCCCAGGGGGTGAGGGGCTGATTTGGGTCTCCACCCTCTGGCGTCCCCCACATCCACCCTTGTTCCTACTCCAAGTCTCTCACGGGGTCCCAGCAGCAATTTGGCTCCTCCCCAGGGCAGCTGCAGACCTACCCCTAGGATTCTCCAAGGATGTCTACACCATTGGGATCAGGGTGTGGTAGAGAAAAAAGAATGTCTAATGAGTTAGAAAGTTACTTCAAGCCTTCGATGCTTTAAGACCCTTGGGCTGGCCTAGAACCAGGATCTGTAATGGCTATTAACCAACAGTACAGCAATACTCACACAGTCACAGGCATAAAAGGAAGATACTTTTGTTAACATTTCTGAGATTCACCCGGAAGTGTCTTGTGACAGGAACATCTTGGACAAAACTTTTACTTGTGTAATTAAGTCAAACCCTAAGATGGTGACTTTGAATAATTAGTTGGGTCTTTGTGGTATTTTTCATCATATCAGGTATTGTTGATAATAGAGAAGGCATATGGTAGAATAATTTGCAATATTTAGCTCTTTGGAAGTGCCTTACCACATTTTAGAAGATTTATAGTTTCCAGATACTTAACATTCATGATTGTATAATGGACATTTGTCTTCTCAGTGGTTTTTCCAGTGTTTTAAAATAAAACATTTTGTCTTTCTTAAAGAAAAGAAAAAGCATGACTTTTTGTTTTGGGGGCCAAAATGTTTTAGGGAGAACTAATTTCAGCAGTGATGTTCATATATTTCTACATCGTCAAGAATGAATTGAATGAAATCAAGTTCCTCTTTATTGTAATTACAGCTTGTGGTAATTATAAACGAGCAAGGAAAGCTAGTGGCCAATGTATGTACCTGTAACATAAACCACTGGTTGAGAGCTGTGTAATTTCTCTCTGTGTTACCTTCTTGGGTGTTCCTTTATGATCTCCTTTGTACTTCTGAAATTAGAAACTCTGCTCCATATCATAAGGTGCATTCAGATAACCTCAAAGAATGAGAGAACCATTTTGACTTTGAAAGTACTTTTAAGCAGATATTTTCAAGAATAAGAAAAAAATGTTCTAAAGTTGGAGCTGAAACCTTAATAAAAAGACATTATGTGTTTGTTCTCTTTAGGTCTCTGCAGGAAGATGAATTTGGCTGAGATTTGTGACAATGCAAAGAAGGGAAGAGAATACGCCCTTCTTGGAAACTATGACTCCTCAATGGTATACTACCAGGGGGTGATACAGCAAATTCAGAGGCACTGCCAGTCAGTCAGAGACCCGGCTGTCAAAGGCAAATGGCAACAGGTAAGTAAGACCCACTCAGGTGAGGGCGACAGTTATGTTATACTTGAGAGACTAGAGTTGGAAAATTAGTAGGAGGTTTTGTAAATAGTTATTTCTTGTCTGAATACTGAAATATATTTAAAATGTACTCTGAATAATTTTGTCTTGCCTAGTTAATCTTTTTGATAATATCTTTCATGAGACACATTTTGAAGATACTTAATTGTAATTGAGTTTACTTTTAATTTTTAAAATTTTCGTGATCAGTCACCTAGTTGTGTGTGTTTATAAATTTTTGATATAAGGTATTTCTGCTCACCCTTTTCCCTTTCATTTTTACGTGTAGTTTTGACCCATTTCACAAAACTTTTCCTTTAAGAAAGTTTCCTCTTTCTTAAAAGGGTCTTTTGAAAGACTCCCTACAAATACAAAGGAATCAATAATCTAATAAAGCTAATATATTTGCTGTGTCTCTTGACTGTACAACTTGATTATATAATAGTACAGTTAATAAAAACTTGAATTAGAATTTCCCCACTTATTCTTAAAACTTAAAATCCTTTTAAAATTAAAAGTACAAAGTCAAGCATTCCTTTGAAGTTGCTTTTTAATGTACTAATGCCTTTCAAGTGTTTCTTCTAATTTTTCCATGTCAGAAATTGATGTTTCACTAAGGTTTCAGGGTAAATTTGGCTTTTTTTCTGACTTAAGCGTTACCAAATTATGTTGCGTGAGAACAATATACTTGCTTTAACTCAAGTTGAAATTTGTAGTTGTGCTCCTGCAGACTAGCCACCGGCAAGAGTGCTTTAGTAATCTAGCATGGAAATACTTTTGACAATTCCTTAACTGTGTTAAATAGTGACCGTTTCTATTCAGTTATTTTTACTGTTTGTTTCCATTAGGTTCTGTAATTTTATTTCTCCAAGTATATAATTGCATATATTAGCAGTTGAATTTTACCTAGATTTTTATTTTTCTCTACTGTAAAGTATATACTTTCTGGTCAAAAAAATTAGAATTGTTAAAAGGAATTTATGAATGCAATTTTCAATCTATTATCTGTTTACCTTTGAAAATTAGTTTGGTCTCAAAGTTTGAAAACACAAGAAGTTCCACGTGGTAGGAACTCCGTGAAGTTTTTTAAATAAGGGAAAAATCTTGCCTATGAACTCAAAACGAACTTTATCCAATACTTGAAAGAATTTAAACAAGGCTAGAAGAATTCAGGTTTTAAGTGAAAGAGAATTTAAATAAAAATTGGAGGGGCACCTGGGTAGCTCAGTCGGTTAAGCGTCCTACTTCAGCTCAGGTCATCATCTCACGGTTCATGAGTTAGAGTCCCACATCTGACTCTCTGCTTTCAGCACAGAGCCCGCTTCAGATCCTCTGTTCCTGTCTGTTTCTGCCCCTCCCCTGCTAGCTCTCTTTCTCTCTCAAAATAAATAAATAAACTTAAAAAAATTGGAAGTGGGTAATGCTTAGTATTATACCATTTCAGGTTTTCAGATGCTCCTAACAGGCCTTTCATGTGAACAGACAATGTCCTAGTGATATTATTAGGAGTAGGAAATGCTGTTGTTGATTCTGGCTGATAATATCCTGGAAGCTATTTTCAAATATATTAAAAGGATTTAGCATAACATTTTAGATTTCTGGGAGTGGTTAACTTGGTACTGCCTTCTTGCTTGTTTTAAATTACATTAATGGTCATCACATTCATTGGTAGAAATAGAGTTCCATTTTGAAAAAAACAACTACTTCCCTTATAAAAAGGTATATAATAATGGCTTTTTTCCAATCCAGTTCTTGCCCTCTGTATTACTTTACATAGTTCTTTGTTTTTCTTAATGTTTTAATGATTCATTTTGCCTGCTTTGCTATTGAGAAGACTTGCATTCAGTAGCAGTTTATTATTTGCCATTCATGTAAACTTTAAACAGTTTCTAGCATAAAGATTATTTCCTTTTAAGGTTCGGCAGGAATTACTGGAAGAATATGAACAAGTTAAAAGTATTGTCAGCACTTTGGAAAGTTTTAAAATTGACAAGCCCCCAGATTTCCCTGTGTCCTGTCAAGACGAACCATTTAGGGACCCTGCTGTCTGGCCGCCCCCTGTACCCGCAGAGCACAGGTAAACGGGACTTTATATTCTCTTTAGGTACTTTTATAGCTAATTGATATTTAGGATGAAGAAAGTGAAGCTTCATCTAAACAAAGTATGAAAGATATTTCAGGGGTATGTAAATCTAATATGTTGTGTTTACAGTTTTCACACCTATCAGTTTATACAGTTTATATTTGATGTAGAATGGAAGTAAATCATTTGTCATATATCTTGTTTTTAGAATGTTTTACTACTGTAATCATAACAGTGGAAATCTGCTAGTCCTAAAGTTGATCAGTTCAGTGAGTGAGGTAGTTTAGATTTCCCATCAGCATCAAAACTTGGAGGGCTTTTTTGCATTAAATTTTTTTTTTGCTTTAGAAGACTCTTACAACTTTAGATGAAATGATGGATTGGATTCATCTGGTCAGGCCTACAGCCAGTTTCCAGAGTCGTAGTGTAGAAGGAACCTTATCATTCCTTAAAAGTTAAAGGTCAGATTCCCTAGTGTGGCATATAATGCACTAAATTGTATCTCCCTGATGCCCAGCCTACGCATTATCTACCTTAAACCTGTCTCTTCTTGCTTTTTCCTGTCTTTTTGTCTTTGCCCAGTCTGTTTTCTTCAGGGGATTCCCATAATTCCTGTTTGAGCAGTTCATATTCATTGTTCGAGTCTCGGCTCCACTGTTTTTTTCTGTCTGCAGCTTTTCTTGGTTTGCTCAAGTACATCGGTTTGTTCATAGCAGTTAGCATGTTGTATTTCTTTGTCTTTTCACAAAATTAGGAGCTGTGCTAGGGCAAGGGCCATGATTTTATTTTCTCAGAACAAATTATAAACAACGAACTGCTATTGCTAAAACAGTGTTTGATACATAGTAGGCATTCAATCGACACTGAATGAATAATTCCATGAATTGTACAAGTGAGGAAACTGAGACCTGAGAGCCCCTCCTCACCTATAAGTTAAGCTAGACCATGATCAGAATTTAGGTCTGTCTGGCTTTGAGACTGTGAAGTGCTGTTGTGACCGGAGTGTTGCATCATACAAAGTAAGTTTCCTTTCCGTCAGTAGATGTGATCATGTGTTTAACTTGTTGATCTTGAAATTTTCTAAAAGCATTTAAAAAACTGTGAAAAGTGGTTAATTTATTCCTTCAGGGGTTTTTCCACTGACTTTCAGATAATTTTATGATTCCCATTATAAAAACACTAGATGATGATTCTTCTCTAAAGTCTACAACAACAGAGCCCTTTTCTGCAGATGTAACCACGTTGAGGTGTTTTGGATTAAGATAATCATTATCTCTCCAAAGTCAACATTGCAGGAGTCCTAGGGTTGTTACCATGGAGGTTCTAAAGTAGATACTGAAAAAAATAAATAATGCCATTTTGATTTATCAGAACTTGAAGATTTTGTGTATGTGTGTGTGTAAGAAAATACCTTAGTCTTTTTCTGAAAGTCATTAATTCAGAAATATGCTTCTAGTTTACAGCTAAAAGCTGACAACAACCTTATTTAGGTATGTTAAAATATAACATTATAGAGGCAAGGTGTACAATGTGTTGATTTGAGATATGTATATATATGGCAGTCTGATTATCTGTGTGTGTGTGAACAATTAAGATCTAGTCTCTTAGCACCTTTGAAAGTTGTCATACAGCATTGTTGTATATTATCTCTATGCTGTATGTTCGATACCCCCACCCCCACCCCCCGCCCAGGACTTATTTATCTGCTGGTTGCAAGTTTGTAATCTTAAGCATTTTCCCAATTCTCAGCCCCTGCTATTTAACTCTCTGTTGTTACAGTTTTGGTTTTTTTTTAGATTTCACGTGTAAGTGATATCATACAGTGTTTGTCTTTCTCTGTGTGATCTCTCACTTACTTTAATGCCCTCAAGGTCCATCCATGTTGCTGTGGATGGCAGGATTTTTTCCTTTCTCATGCCTGAATAATAATATTCCACTATATGAACAAACACTTAGATGGTTTCCACAGCTTGGCTCTTGTGAATAATGTTGCAGTCAACATGAGGGTTCATGTATCTCTTCCATATCCTGTTTTTATTTCCTTTGGATATGTACCCAGCAGTGGAATTGATGGATCATTTGGTAGATTGATTTTGAATTTTCTGAAGCACTGCCATACTGTTTTCCACAGTGGCTAAACCAATTTGCATTCCCATTAACAGTGAATAACGGTTCTCTTTTTTCCACATTTTTGCAAACACTTTCCTCTTGTCTTCTTGATGAGGGCTGTTCCAACAGGTGTGAGGTGATATCTCATAGTGGTTTTGATTTGCATTTTCTTGATAATTAGTAATATTGAACATTTTTTTCTATACCTGTGGGCCATTTTGGATGTCTCCTTTGGAAAAATACTTATTTTTGTTCCTCTGTCCATTTTTAATTGGATTTTGTTGTTGTTGTTGAGTTGTAGAAGTTCTTTATATATTTTGAATATTGAATATTAACCCTTTACCCCAATATATGGTTTGCAAGTATTTTTTCCCATAGTAGGCTGCCTTTTCATTTTTGGTTTTTTTCTTTGGCTGTGTAGAAGCTTTTTAGTTTGATGTAGTTTCACTTAACTTTTGCTTTTGTTGCTTGTATTTTTGATGTCCTATCCAAAAAATCATTGCCAGGGCCAATGCCAAGGAGTTTCTTTCCATGTTTTCTTCTATGAGTTTTACAATATTAATGTCTTATGTTTGTCTTTTAAATCTAGTTCGAGTTCATTTTTGTGAATGGTTTAAGATAGGGGTCCAGTTTTATTTTTCTGCTTGTGGTTATCCAATTTTCTCAACACCACTTGTTGAAGAAACTATTCTTTCCCCAGTAAGTATTCTTAGCTTTCTTGTCAAATACTAGTTGACCATAAATGCAAGGGTTTATTTCTGTCCTCTCTGTTCTGTCCCATTAGTCTTTGTGCTTTAAGGACAGTACTGTACTGTTTTTCTTTTAAGCTTATATATTTTGAAAGAGAGAGAAAGCACGAGCAGGGGAGGAGCAGAGAGAGGAGAGAGCGAGAGTCCTGAGCAGGCTCCACACTTGCACTGCAGAGCCTGATGTGGGGCTTGAACTCATAAGCTGTGAGATCATGACCTGAGCTGAAGTTGGATGCTCAACTGACTGAGCCCCCCAAGCACCCCAGTACTCTACTGTTTTAATTACTAAAGCTTTGTAGTATAGTTTGAAATCAAAAGTGTGATGCCTCTGGCTTTGTTCTTTCTCCTGATTGCTTTGGTTATTTAGGGTCTTTTAGACTCCATACAAATTTTAGACTTTTTCCCCCCATTTTTGTGAAAAATGCTATTGGAATTTTGATAGGGATTGTGTTAAGTGTGTAGATGGCTTTGGGTAGTATAGACATTTTAACAGTATTAATCTTCCCATCCATAAACATGGGGCATCTTTCCACTTGTTTTTATTTTCTTCAATTTCTTTCATTAAAGTTTTATAGTTTTCATTGTACAGGTCTGTCATGTCCTTGGTTAAATTTATTCCCAAGGATTTTATTGTTTTTGATGCTATTGTGAATGGGATTGTTGTCTTTCTTTTTTCATATGTTTCCTTGTTAGTATGTAGAAACACAACTGATTTCTGTATGTTGATTTTATATCCTGCAACTTTGCTGAATTTGTTGATTAGTTCTAAGAGAATTTTGATTGAGTCTTTAGGTTTTTTTTTAATGTATAAGATCATATTGTCTGTAAATAATGACAGCTTTTGGTTGTCATTTGGTTTCTGATTTGGATGCCTTTTATTTTATTGTCTTGCCTAATGGCACTAGCTAGGACTTCTAGTATATACGGAGCAAGAATGATGAGAGTGGGCACCCTTGTCTTATTCCTGATTGTAGAGCAGAAGCTTTTCATTTTTCACTGTTAATGTATGATACTAGTTGTGGGCTTAATTGTATCAGGCCTTTATTATGTTGAGGTATGTTCCTTCTGTACCCAATTTGTGGAGGGTTTAAAGAAATTTTTTTATGTTTATTTTTATTTTTGAGACAGAGAGAGCATGAGCAAGGGAGGAGCAGAGAAAGAGAGAGGGAGACACAGAATCCCAAGCAGGCTCCAGGCTCTGAGCCGTCAGCACAGAGCTCGATGCAGGGCTTGAACTCACAGGCCATGATATCATGACCTGAGCCCGTCAGACGCTTAATCGATTGAGCCACCCAGGCGCCCCTGTAGAGGGTTTTTATCATGAAAGACTATTGTACTTTGTCACATGTTTTTTTTTTTTTGGGTTTTTTTTTTTTTTTTTGCATCTATTGAGATGATCATATGATTTTTTATTTCATTCTGTTAATGTGTTGTATCACATTTATTGATTTGTATATGTTGAACCACCCTGATCTCCCAGGGATAAACCCCATTTGGTTGGATTATATAATCCTTTTAATGTATTGTTGAATTCATATTCAATAGGAACATTTTACTCATACTTTGTTAAGTTTTGTATTTATTAGGGTATTGGTCTATAGTTTTTTTGTAGTATTCTTACCTGGCTTTGATATCAGGGTAATGCTCGCCTTATAAAATGAGTTTGGAAGTGTCCCCTCTTTTTGATTTTTTGGAAGAGTTTGAGAAGGATTGGTGTTAACTGTTCTTTAAATGTTTGGTAGAATTTGCCAGTGAAGTCATCTGGTCCTGGAAATAATTTACAGTGTAGGAAATATCTGTTCAAAATTGCTAGAGCACCATGATGTATTTTAAAAAGCAAACTGAATAAAAAAGTGTGGCTCGTAATTTCCCATTGAAGAACACTTACTGAAAACTTCTTGTTAGAGAAACATTAGCCCACTGTTTTATTTGTCCTCCATTAACTGCCCATAACAGAGATTTTATTTATATTTATGCTTGTGTTTTAATCCTTACTCTTAATGAAAGTGACAAATGAATGGACCAGAATGATGTATTTCTATGAACCTCTTTTCTCCATAGTAAATTATAAAAGAATTTTTCCTGTATGCAGCCATTGTGTGTGTATACACGCACACTCACGCGCGCACACACACA